ATCTACGGGTTTATGTCGAATTAATTTGATGGCCTGCTCCCAGTTGGCTTGTTAGCTCAATTGGTAGAGCGCTGCACTAGTATCGCAGAGGTCAGTGGTTCGAATCCCGTACAGGCCTGAAATTTTTTTCAGGTCTGATTTTCACTATTGCTCAAATAGTGCTTTACTGCGAAGGATCGTGCTCATATACGTCTCATAACCGCAGTTCACACATATGTTTCATATGTTTGTTGTTGTTAAAAACTTTATTGTAACATTTGATAACACACGGTTTTAAGAAAGAGATGGTGTCAGTCTTGGACAATGGGAGCTCTCCAAGGTTTCCTAAAATGAAAAAAAATTGAACATGAACAGCAAGAAAAGTGAATCACTGATTATCTATTTGTGCAAATGGGGCATTTTCCTTAAGGCCCGTGGGGTCTCTTTATTAAGGTATCAACGTTTCCACAATCGAGTGTATTTGTACATTTCCTGGGATGTAAAGCGATATAACACTATAAACAAAGAAACATTTTCTAGCTACAAATCAGGACTTCGTAAGTGATTTTCAGAACTCGATTCGTATTCAAATAATCGTTCATTTGAAACTTTTAGCCAACTGAATTGATTTAGGAATTAAATCGTTGTGGCCATTATTCAAATTCAACGAACAAAGCAACGCATTATAGTAAGGAATAAAACAAACAGATCGGCAATCAGAGCCACAATAAATCAGAGTTTTGGAAGTCTCGCACAGTCATAAAAGAGCTTATTTTCAAATAGAGAAATTCAGAAAACAGATTCCAAGAGCATATTTCCCGTAAGTATTCCAGTGGATTTTCACGATAAAGAATAAAGGTAACTCGTGCCTGGATATTCCAAAATGTTATCAATCTTACAACAAACTGAACCCGTAAACGGGTAAAGAACGTTTCTTGGTGCAATTTTTTTTTAAATTTCTTCCTTTCCCATCCTGGTTTTGTGGACTTAAATTACGAAATATTGCGTGGAAGAAGTAGTAGATTTGCACACTACCACAACGCAAATTATAAAACCACGGAAAACAAACACGAGACCGGTGTCAAATTGATTGATACTTTTTATGAAAGTCTTTGCTGACGAGGCTAAAATTGTGAGCTTTAAACTCCAGTTAATTTTTTATTGTTCTTGTGCACATGTGGACTGAAAAGTCGTTCCCAGGGTATGCTTAAACCGCTAACTGTTAAAGGCATTAAGTTTCGTCCGTAACTTCATCTGTTTTTAGGGTAAGATTGAGCCGTTGGTGGAAAAAATTGTTCCGAGAGACAGACTCGACTTGCATTTTCGGGACTTCCAATTTGACGTGGTAAACCTCCCCATAGCTAGTTTCACTGACAAACGCTAGAAAAGGACCTCGTAATAATTAATCCTCAGTCCACATGTGTACAACAACAATACAAACAAAAGTGAATTGGAAATACTAAATGCCATCCAATTAGATGGATCTCTCTCAAGTTCGCCCATAAAAAAATGTTAATCCAAAATGATTGCGGTCTCTTTTAATCATTTTCCAGAGAGCGCAAACTGTACTTACATATATACATACATACATACATACATATACTCTATTTAATTTCGAATTTGGAGTAGCTAAAGGATAAGCTAGTATCTTCGAGTTACAAGTATAGTTCTAAATACTACTAAAATGTAAGATGTAAAATGTAATTTTGTAACATTCTAAAGTTTAACTATGAGAAAGAGTCATACTGTAGAATCTTGCGCTTGAAATCAGAGAAGTCAGTCGTTCTAAAAATGTGCTTTTACATATCAAAAATCGTTTCAGCCGGTTAAAGTTTGATTAAAGTTGTCTTGATAACTAGAACTAGTTCTAGCGCCTGTTCACTTCTCCTGTTTTAGCTTCAGGAGACTTTTTCGCTTTCCTCTGCAAGATGAATATCGAGGTCGTGCATGTTAAGTTCATTGGTTTCAACCGTCAACTAATATTTGCATGAAAAGAATATTAGGTTTTAATTCATTTGACATCTATTGTGATTTTGCACCATGGGCTTAAAGAACAGTATAACGTCGAGGTTATTTATGGCCAGCGTTATCGTTCTTGAGCTCATCGTTTTAGGTTTAAAAATATCAATTTATTAACTCCTGTCAGATATGGGGTTCCATAGTTTTATAATTTATGTTTTGGTAATATGTAAAACTCGACTACTTCTTCCCTGCAATATTTCGTAACTTGAAACACTGAACTAAACCAGGACGAAGGAGCAAGCAAATGAAAATACAGATCGAGTCTCGCACAATCATAACAGGCCTTGCCTTCCGATAGAGAGGTTCAGGAAACAGATTCCAAGAGTACATTGCCAACAACGTGAAAAAGCTGTACCGCGCTTCCTTATTATATCACGGTTTATTAACTTCATTTTACGATTCTGTTACAAGGCTTCGGTTAACTCCCACTCACAGGTCCTCGCTTATTCGAATAAACAGACCGGCACCAAAAACGTTGCTTTACAGGCACGTGGAAAAAGGCCATATATGGGCGATAACAAGTGCTGCATACATGTTGTTTGGTTAGGTAAAAGACAAACGAAATCACTTATAATGTCAATCAACTCAAGACAAATTGACGAGTCGTGGAGTTTCTAAGATACATTTCTCGTAGGCAGTCGTCCGAGTTTTCATGAAAAAGAATGAAGATAACCCATATCTAGATATTCTAAAGAATTATGAATATTATAAAACAAAGTGAACTCTAACAACCCACATAAACTAGTAAAGAACGTTTTTAAGCTGCAAATTTCGGTTTCCATCATTAAAATGTGATTAAGCCATGCTCAACTTGTATCTTTACTTTTTTCCCCTCTCTCCCTTGATTAGTTTATTTTTACACATAAACATAACGTAAATTAGAAAACTGTGGCACCGAAGATGTCAAGGTTATCGATATTTTTTAAGAAAGTCTTTGCTGACGAACCTAAAACGGTGGACCTTAAACTCGCAGTGATATCAGTAATTACTTGTCTTTAAGCCAATGATGCCAAATCAAAATATATGCCAGATGAATTAAGATATATGTCACAGTTTTTATATGAATGCTAATCTAATCTCACAAACGAAAATTAATCAGCCTATGAAACACGTAACATTTATCGAGAGATGGATGGGGGAAAAAATTCTGAATTATCTGAAGTTACATTCGTGAACAGTCGATAAAGTTGTTTCTAGCTATCGGGACAACTTTTCAATCAAGCTCTTACAGGCTGAAACCGACTGACTTTTAAAAACACATTTGGCAATATCTGGAGAATCTGATTAAAACTGACGACCTCAATCACTTTTGGATTAAGATTTTTAATGAGCAGGGTTTGAGTGAAATCCATCTCATTGGGTGACGTTAAGCATTTCCGATTCAGCTTTGTTTCGTATTGTTTCTGGGCACATGTTGACTCGGAAGTCATTCCCAGGAAAGGCTTAAACCACTCACAAATAGAGGCAGGAGATTTCCTCTGCCTGTACCTTCCTTAAATATTTATGTAAGAGTAAGCGACTGGTTGAAAAAGTTGCCTTCGGAAAGACAGACTTGACTGGCATTAAGCTTCCAATTTACTTCATAAATTTTCTCGCCACTAGATAAGCAAAGCTCGTTAGTCATTGTTGTTCATGACAGCTTAGGCACTAAACGGCTTTTACTCACTTTAGCAGTCTAAATTAGCCAAAAAAAAGAAATTTCTAGTATTCTTCACGACCTTCTAAACCTTTCCCTATTCTTATACTTTTCTCGTTCATTTAGTCTATAAAACGTTGCATTCACTCATTTACTTAGCCTCTTAAATCACATTTATCATAACGGAAATATAAAGTGTTTCAGTGAAGCCTCTCTATTTACTTTGTATGAAATTTTTTTAATTTCCACTTACCAGATCAAAACCTTTTCATTTTCTGGAAGTAATTACAACACTTGGGTTCTTTTTGCGAGCATTTCGTTAGGATCTATAAAAAGACGTTTCTCACCTAGGTCAGTCACGCATATAAGTTTAAATCTGATGCTATCGTTTCCAAATATGTGTATAACTAGATACCAGGACATAAGTTTACCAAAGTTTCAGTGAGATCAAGATTTTTCCAATTTCCTGGCTTGGATTAATACTACAGAGAACGTTTTCTCCGTTTCCATAGCTTCATCTAAACACTAAGGGGTGGGGGGGAGGAGAAGTTGAGACGCAGTCGAGGATTTGCATAACTTTCCAGATAAATGAAGGAAAACTTTGTTTATATGCTTCTTGATTAACATAGATTTTCATAATACATGACGATATTATTCCCCAAACAACTAATAAAATTGTACAGCTGACAACTTCTAAACCATTCGAAATCTCTGTTCTAAAAAGATCAAGTCAATTTCAAATTTGTGGCAAGTGCTAACATCTTTGGAATGAAACAGTTTCGACAAATCGCCGATTTGTTAATGTTGGTAATTTCCATGAGGTTGATTATCCAATTACCTCTCGTGACCGTAATTCTAACTGTCGCATAAAACAACAACTAGCGAGTTTAGTTCATCAGTGGATGCAGAAAAGGCCAACGCAAAATCTAGAAATGTAGTTATCAAGTTGCCCACTCTTTTCTCAACCTTCCCCTCCTTAATTGTATCTCTAAATGCTCGACCCTGGTTCTTCTTCCAAGAATGACTTTTTTCATTTCTTTTTGTCTCCAGCAGTAAATAAGTGGATTCACGAGCGAGTTTATCATGGCACATGTTAGCATCGATGGCACATTGATGGGGCAAGAATCAAATAGTGCTGAAGCTGTTACGATCAGACAGAAACAAAGTGGAAGAAGGCAAACAATAACGGCACCAACTACAAATACAGTTGTCTTAAGCGCCTTGTTCTCTTTGGCAAACCTTTCCACTTCTTCTTGGGGCAGTTGTTGAGTTTTTATTTTGTGTCGATGACGACGTGTTTCACGATACATGATGAAGTAAGAGAAGGTAAGAAAGAGAACGCAGGAAATAATGAGAAGGCCTGCAGAAAAACGTACCAGAACGACCATTTTCAAAATTCTGAAGACCCCAATAATGAGCGGAATGATCCAAGCTGCTAACACTGCTATCCTCATGTTCTTATAAGTTACAATGTCTGAGTATTGCATCGAAAACTTGATGGCTATGAGTCTTTCCAATGTAACCAACATCAGATGAAGGTATGAAGCTGTTATCATTACAACTAAACACTGGACAAAGTAGATTTCAAGCGTTTCACTGTTACCGAAACCATACAACTCGTCCACCCTCCACATGATAAATAAAGGCTGGCCAATGAGACCTGCTAATACATCAGTCACCGCTAAACAGGCCAGCAAGATATTACTGTTGGTTCGAAGTCGAGGTGTCGTTTTCACAGCCTTTATCACCAGTAGGTTGAGCAGAACTGTGATGGGACAAGTGATTGTGTTGATGATGATTATAATTATAGAGCCAGCCACTGATGGGACATCTTCTGTATCGCTTTCCCTATCGGTCGTGTTTGTAGCGTTTGTAAAACTAGTCATGGAGATGTTTATCATATCGAATTGGAATCTCAATGCAAGTCAAGTCTATCTCTAAGAAAAACTGTTTGAACGAGTAGTTCATTATCTAGCATGAAAACTAAGAAAGGTTGAGGCTGAGGAAGTCCGATGCCTTATATAGTGAGCATTTTCGGGTAATGACAACTCTTCTACGTGTGTTCAGTGACAAATACAGAACAAATGCGAATCGGAAGTGCTTAACGCCACCCAATCAGACAGAATTCCCTTAAGCTTTGCCATTAACGGCACTTTTTAATTTTATTTTCCAGACAGCAACAACAGTGTAGTTTTCAGCGTGATTAAGGTTGTCGCCTTAGCTAGAAACAGCTTTATCGCCTGTTCACTTATCATGCTATAACTCTGAGATTTTTTTGGCTTTCCTTCGCCAGATAGATATTTCGTGTGTGTCAAGCTCATTAGTTTTCGTCTTTCAACTAAAATTTACATAAAAGAAAAATGTGCATCAATTCATTTTGACATCTATCATGCTTTGTCTTCATGGGCTCAAGACAACTTCGCAGCTTTTTTCTAGCCATTGTCATCGGTCATGAGTTTAAAGCTTGCTGTTTTAGGTTCTATAACAAATGTTTTTTTCAAAAATATAACTTAACTGATTAGCTCACGTCTCATCTGAGGAGCCGAAGTTTTATAATTTGCGTCACAGCAATGTGTTAAACTCGGCTAATTCTTCCGTGCAATATTTCGTAAAGTGAATCCTCAAACGACATCCAGATCAGAGAGAAAGACAGTGAAAATACACGTTGAGTACAACTTATTCACAAAATGATTAATACATTTCAAACGGTATGATTCCTAATAATGCAAACAAAAACGTTGTTTTCACGCTTGATAACACACGGTTTTATGAAAGAGATGTTTTGACAATGCATCGTATTTGTACAGTTCCTGGGATGTAAAGCGAATAACAATAATAATTAATGAAACCTTCAATCAGGACGTCGCAACTGATTTTGAGAACTCGACTCGTATTCAGATAATCGTAGGGTTGAAATTTTTAGCCAATTCAATTGATTTAGAAATTAAATCGTTGTCGCCATCTTTTAAACTCAACACCCAAAGCTACGCATAATGGTAAGGAATAAAACAAACAGAACGGCAACAGAGCAAAGATCAATTTGGAGAGTTTCCAAAGAGTTTTGAAAGTCTCGCACAGTCGTAAAAGAGCTTATCTTCGGACAGACAAATTCAGAAAATGGATTCCAATAGTATATTTCCCATAAGTAGTCGAGTGTATTCTTATGATAAAGAATGAAGATAATTTGTTTCGAGTTATTTCAAATGTTATCAATCGTAAAACAAACTGAACTCGTAAATGGGTAAAGAACGTTTTTTGATGCAAATCTTTTTTACTTTCTTCCTTTCCCATCCTGGTTTCGTGGACTTAAATTACGAAATATTGCGTGGAAGAAGGGAGAGTTTTGCACCTACCAGACTACAAATTATAAAACCACGGAAAATCCAACAAGAGACCGGTGTGAAATTGATTGATACTTTTCATGAAAGTCTTTGCTTCCAATTCGACGTGGTGGTAAACTAGCTAGTTTCAAAAACGTTACAAAAGAACCTCGTGGAAATTACTCTTCATTCCACATGTGTACAACAACAATACAAGCAAAAGTGAAAAGGAAATGCTAAACGCCATCCAACCAGATGATTTCTCTCAAGTTCTCCCTATAAAAAATGTTTAATCCAAAATGATTGCGGTCTCTTTTTAATCAAATTTTCTAGAAAGCGCCAAATGTGCTTTTACATGTCCAAAATCGTTTCAGCCGGTTAAAGCTTGATTAAAGTTGTCTTGATAACTAGAACTAGCTCTAGCGCCTGTTCACTTCTCCTGTTATAGCTTCAGGAGACTTTTTCGCTTTCCTCTGCAAGATGAATATCGAGATCGTGCAGGTTAAGTTCATTGATTTCAACCGTCAACTAATATTTGCATGAAAAATATATTAGGTTTTAATTCATTTGACATCTATTGTGCTTTTGCGCCATGGGCTTAAAGAACAGTATAGCGTCGCGATTTTTTATGGCCAGCGTTATCGTTCTTGAGCTCATCGCTTTAGGTTTAAAAATATTAGTTTATTAACTCCTGTCAGATATGGGGTTCCATAGTTTTATAATTTATGTTTTGGAAATATGTAAAACTTGACTACTTCTCCCGGGCAATATTTCGTAACTTGAAGCACTGAACTAAACCAGGACGAGGGAGCAAGAAAATAAAAATACAGATCAAGTCTCGCACAATCATAACAGGCCTTGCCTTCGGATAGAGAGGTTCAGGAAACAGATTCCAAGAGTACATTGCCAACAACGTGAAAAAGCTGTACCGCGCTTCCTTATTAAGTCACGGTTTATTAACTTCATTTTACGATTCTGTTACAAGGTTTCGGTTAACTCCCACTGACAGGTCCTCGCTTATTCGAATAAAAGGACACTAAAAACGTTGCATTACAGGCACGTGGGACAAGGCCATATATGGGCGATAACATGTTCCGCATACATGTTATTTGGTTAGGTAAGAGACAAACGAAATCACTTATAATGTCAATCAAATTAAGACAAATTAACGAGTCGTGGAGATTCTAATATACATTTCTCGTAGGCAGTCGTCCGAGTTTTCATGAAAAAGAATGAAGATAACCCATATCTAGATATTCTAAAGAATTATCAAACAGTATAATAAAAACTGAACTCTAACAACCTACATAAACTACTTAAGAACGTTTTCAAGCTGCAAATTTCGGTTTCCATTATGAAAATGTGAATAAGCTGTGCTCAACCTGTATCTTTACTTTATTCCCCTCCTACCCTGATTAGTTGATTTTTACACATAAACACAAAGCAAATTAGAAAACTATGGCACCGAAGATGTCAAAGTTATCAATATTCAGTTTAAGAAAGTTTTCACTGACGAACCTAAAACGGTGGGCTTTAAACTCGCAGCGATATAATTACTTGTCTTTAAGCCCATGATGCCAAATCAAAATATATGCCAGATGAATTAAGATATATGTCACAGTTTTTATTTCAATGTAAATCTAATCTAACGAACGAAAATTAATCAGCCTATGAAACACGTAACATTCATCGAGAGATGGATAGGGGAAAAAGTCCTGAATTATCTGATGAAATGAATGAAAAGGCGATAAAGCTGTTTCTAGCTATCGCGACAACTTTTCAATCGAGCTCTTACAGGCTGAAACTGACTGACGTTTAAGAAACACATTTGGCAATATCTAAAGAATCTGATTAAAAAACGACCTCAATCACTTTTGAATTAAGATTTTTTTAATAAGCAGAGCTTGAAGGAAATTCATCTGATTGGGTGCGTTTAGCATTTCCGATTCAGCTTTGTTTCGTATTGTTTCTGTGCACATGTAGGCTAAGAAGTCATTCCCAGGAAAGGCTTAAACCACTCGGTATTAATATAAGTGGCAGGAGATTTCCTCTGCCTGCACCTTCCTCAAATATTTATCTAAGAGCGAGCGACTGGTTGAGAAAGTTGCCTTCCAAGAGTTAAATCTTTAACTCACTTTACCAGTCTAAGTTAACCAAAAAGAAAAAATTGCCAGTATTCGTGCCAACCTTCTAAATCTCTCCCTATTCTTATTCTTTTCTCGTTTATTCAGTCTACAAAACGTTGCATTCACTATTTGCTTAGCCTCTTCAATCACATTTATCATTACGGAAATATAAAGTGTTTCAGTGAAGCCTCTATTTAATTTGTATGACCTTTTTTTTAACTTCCACTTACCAAGTCAAAACCTTTTCATTTTGTGGAAGTAATTACAACACTCGGGTCCTTTGGACGAGCATTTCGTTAGGATCTATAACAAGACGTTTCTCACCTAAGTCAGTCACGCATATAAGTTTAAATCTGATGCTATCGTTTCCAAATATGTGTATAACTAGATACCAGTCGACTAGTCGTTTTCACAGCCTTTATCACCAGTAGGTTGAGCAGAACTGTGAAGGGACAAGTGATTGCGTTGATGACGATTATAATTATAGAACCAGCCACTGAGGGGACATCCTCTGTATCGCTTTCTCTATTGGTCATGTTTGTAGCGTTTGTAAAACTAGTCATGGAGATGTTTATCATATGGAATTGGAATCTCAATGCAAGTCAAGTCTATCTCTGAGAACAACTGTTTGAACGAGTGGTTCAATCTAGCATCAAAACTGAGAAAGGTAGAGGCTAAGGAAGTCTGATGCCTTTAGTAGTGAGCATCTTCAGGTAATGACAACTCATCCACACGTGCACAGCAACAACTACAGAACAAATGCGAATCGGAAACGCTTAACGCCACCCAATCAGACGCAGTTCCCCTAAGCTTTGCCCATTAAGGGCACTTTTAAATTTTATATTCCAGAAAGCAACATAAGTGTATTTCTTAGCTTGATTAAGGTTGTCGCGTTGACTTGAAATAGCTCTATCGCTAGTACACTTCTCGTGTTACAAGTCCGGGTGATTTTTTCGTTTTCCGTTGCCAGATAAATATTTCGTGCATGTTAAGCTCATTACTTTTCGTCCGTCAACTAACATCTGCAGAAAAAGAAAAATATGCATCAATTCATTTGACATCTCTTATGCTTTGTTGGGGCTTAAGACAATTATACACCCTTTAAGGATTTTTTATACCCATTGTTGTCGTTCATGAGTTTAGAGTTCGCCGTTTCAGGTTCAGCAACAAAAGTTTTTATTAAAAATATCACTTTATTTACTCCTGTTTCATTTGAGTGCCGCAGTTTTGCAATTTGTGTCGTGGCCATGTGCTAAACTGGGCTAATTCTTCAAAGCAATAGTTCATAATTTGAATCACTAAATCAAACTCAAATATGAGAGAAAGAAAGTAAAAGTACATGTTGAGTACAACTTACTCACAAAATAATTAATACATTTCAAAATGGTACGATTCCTACTACATGATGCAAACAAAAATGTTGTTTTAACGTTTGATAGCACATGGTTTTACGAA